AACTAACGCCTAAAACCATTTGCTTTTTCTTTATAAGGGAATTATCTCGATGCATATATATCCTCGTGTGAGACAATAGTAAAACTTTAAGGATCTAAAAAATATGTGTCTAGTAATTTTTAAGTCTTGTTGATTTGTACAAATCTTTCTACAAATTCTACATAAAAGGTATAATTCAGAGTAAAAATAGTCATTATCACATTGGAAAAAAAAACATCACATTGCGACATTCATGTTGACTTATAAACCTTATGACACTTGTTGGAAACACTGAAAGACCATAACGCAATTTGTGTCATGACTACAATGAAGAAAACGTATGACGTGTTCTGAGGCATAGCCGATCATAATAACTAAATAAACAGATGATCTTATTAGGTATATACGCATTATTGGTTAGTTTACGCCTGACGGCACTCCGTGATTTTTTAATAAGGTAATCATAATTGCAAGTATCCTATTATTTTGATAACACCATTTTTTTTATTTTTTAGTTTTAACTTTATTATTTTAACGAAAGGGAATAAAGTAGTACATACTAAAATATTTCGAGACTAATTGAAATCCCAACGTTCCAAACGCGTCGTGGGTTTTCTTCACTGCCGCAACGCGTTGTGGTCGAATAGCATAATAGTCACGAAAAAAATTTCGCGATGTGGTTTTTCTCTGTTTGTCCCAACGATTCATAAAGGTTTTTATAAGAGCCATAACACGAATTTCGCCTTGTGAATGTTTTTCAGTGGTCACAATGCGTTCTGAGCTGTTTTCTTGCTTAGTAAGCGTTTTTGTTCTTTTAACCTAACATGCATACAACATATATTTAAATTAATTGAAATATAAACATATTAGTTACACAATTTTGCATTAGTAAAGTAAAAGATCTTCTAATTCATTGTTTTCTGTATCATTTTATGAGATTATGAGTAAAATGCGTAGTTTTTTTTACCTATAAATTAACATCAATTAAGTAAGATGACCTACTTTTGCCTTTAGTAATTCAAGGCGCTTTAGCATATTACATATTACATGAACCCAAGAAAGAAAATGACACACCTATGAAAATTAATCACTACCAAAAAAGAGGTAGACAATAAAACAAAGCCTTTGTTATAATATTTAAAGATTTTCGTTAGAAAACAACGCAGATTTTCCAGTCAGAAATTTGCAGTTAATTAAATATACAATATCTTTGATTTACTGCTACTTTTCTAGTAGGTAATAAAGGTTAGCGAAAAGAAGTTTTTCCTTGTTCGACGAAACATCAAGCTTCAATAATTCCACTGAAAGTAAAAACGACATCAAACAACGAAGTAATTAGACATGGTTTTCAAATAAAAATATCCGCAAAGTTATCGACAACTCGGAAAACTTTTGCTTGGAAAAATTGAAGGTTGAAATACCCAATGCAATCTGGGTCTTTCCAGTGCGTTGTCAATTGAGCTACGTATTAAACACATATGTGACAGATTTATTTGAAACGAAACGAAATAAAAAGGACTAACATAAGTATTTCATATAAGTGATATTCAGTAATTAAAATTCTACAATCAAAAATTTATTGTGCATGTACATTAGGGTGTACCTTATTTATAGGACAGAAATTAACTTTCATACTTTCTTTTGTTGTTATCCCTTTAAAAGGTTACTTTTGATACACTCACAAATCAGAGAAGAGTTTAGCTCTCTAGATTAATTCGACAGGAGGATACATTTTATTAGTATAGAGTGTTTTTGAGATAAGTAGGAAGCTTGAATGAAGTGGTGGGGTACTATAAAACAAGAAAATTACGTAATTGTCTGAAGGCCCACCGTTTTCGAGGTAAACGTATTTGAAAGTACATACAAGGGCCAGTAGGAACACGCAGAAAATGCAACAATGCAACGCTACATTCAAGCAGCTGGTAATTAGCAGCATCCGTGTTATATTTCTTTTCTCTTGGCTGTCGCGTAGTCCTGATCTAAATCCGTTGGACTTCCTTCTACGAATTGTATGAAATAGCGCGTGTATCAAATGAATCAAATTCTAAATTTTATCCTTGACACTGTTTTCTATACAAGCAACATGGTCAGTACTTTTTATTTTATGCCAGTTCCTTTTAAACGCCTTAGATAGTCGAATATCTTAATGTCACCTGTGTCACGAAAATTCAAAAACATTTCACAGAATTAATTCAAAAATATGGTGCTGACGTGGCAAACAGAGTAAATCTTTTTTTTCTTTCTGCTCAATCAATACCGTTGATCCATTTAATCGTCCTGTATTGCAAACTGATGTATCACAGCACAGTGCTTCGAATTTATCCGACAAGCTCCGATCTTCTAATGGTGCGGTGAACAGATGACCGATTGATTATGAAATCATTTGTATTATGACCTAAAGCCTTTATTACAGTATGTATGGACAAATGGACATAAACTGAATCTATAACACTTAACTGACATCGGCATCTATCTAATAATGCAACAATCTCAGACTTACTTAGATTTGTGAGGCCTCTCTTTTCGATGCATTTCGGGTGAATAATCTTTGGGATCATTTGTGATTGCCTTGTTGTGTAATAGTTTCCTGAAATTCCTCTCGGAAACATTGGATTTTACATCGGAATTATCAGATTATGGATGGTGAAGGTGACATAGACGGCAATTCTTTCTGGCATTCATATTTTCTTTTGCGTTCCAATTCTTAGTTTTTTACTTGTGAGCGGTATTCTTTTAATGCCCGTTTTCCATTAATGGGCTCAAGATACCATAGCGTCTTTAATTTATCAAGAGTTGCTTATCTTGTTTAGTGCTAATTTTGTTTAAGACATCTGCATGCGCAATGTCAAATAACTTTTCTAAATTATCAGTAAAATAACACATTATCGAATAGTTAAATTTGTGCTCTCGCGTATCTTCTTTACGCATCTTATCTTTCCAATCAAGAAGTATACGCGACAGTGACAACTTACACAACACTGTATTAACAATACTTCTTTTAATTTACTTACTGTCAACTGTTGGTACTAAATATTGCCCCACACATTTCCCTCAAGTTTTTTTCGCAGAAGTTCCTACTTGATCTGTTTCGTCGTTCTAATTTTCTTCTTTAAGTTTCGCCTATCCTTTTTTGCTACATCTTCCAAACGTGTCCCTTCCTCAGGGACTGTGGGCCTTTTCATTTTCCTACTTAATATCGTGCACTATGGAAGAAATATACCTGTGCAAACGATAGAGATTATGCCACAGTTAACAATGTGCCCTCTCCTCTCTCTGTAACCTCTCCTCTCTCTGTAACCTCTCCTCTGCCATCGGAGGTTGGGGAGCCCAGAGTCCATTAAAGTCCATTAAAGTCTCTCCTGGCCACCACCGGCAGGTCGCTACTTCTTATGACTTCCAACGTGATCATAAACTGTTCAAAATCTCTTTGAGATCTGTTCAGAGAGATGTGTATGGGTATTAGTCTCATACCAACTGCAAGCAGATCACACCAGGCAAACCCCTCTCTCGACCCATACCTACCATGCATTAGGGGTACCCTTCCAACCATAACGATCGCATCCTTACGTCCATCATGAATCCATTTACAGCGTGGAACATACGTTTTATTTGGTTTCGAGACCATCAAAACATCTGCCCTAGTTCTAGTTCAGTTTTCTCCAGTAGTTTCATGCTCTTAACAATTCAACTGTAGTGTTTGCATAATTACCTTTCTCGTCAGCTCTCAACTTCTTTCTTTTCTTCTTGAGGCTCTCTTTTTTCGGAATTCCCATTCCGAATTTAGACCTCCACTCCCTTGAAAAGTTTTATTTACACGGATTACATACACCACATTAGCTTTCTTTGGCTTTTCCCAGAGAGCCCTTCGTACGTTCCCGTTTCGTGAGTACTTGCTGAGACAACTCTACCGGTCTAATCTACCCGTGTTCAGTATTATCAGGATATTAGTGGTCTCTTCGTTCTCAGCTTCTGGTCTTTCGTCTAATTTAATGTTTTTATAACAATCCTGAGGCTACTCTTCCTTGTTAATCTCCAAGAAGTCTTCGTACTTCCTTTCTGGATTTTTAACAACTGTCTCGATCTTTTCGACGTAGGTACTCTTCAACTACCTGTGTACCATGGGATATCACTCCCCTGTTGCTGTCCGCCTCCGTCTGAGTTGCGGACTCCTTCCTTGTACGTTCTTTCCTTCTCGACCTACTTTCCTCCAAAAATATTTTACAATTTAGTTCTGAACTATGAGAGATGTTTTTTATCTTTCTTTTCACGTTAGTCAACTTCTCCGATATTTCCACAAGCTTGTTAACCTTCTTAATCATGGCGTTTATGTTGCTGGTTAATTCCCCGGTTACTGGATAATCAGATCTGCCAGTGGTCAATCCCTTCCCGCCAGTGTGCAACGAATGAATTATTCAGCCCCGGAAGGAGAGGATTGTTGCTCCCCACACCTGTTTAAAAGTCTCGTAGCTATTGGGGGGGCACATTAATTTAATGTTATTATTTCTCATTTTACAAGTAAGGTAAATATTTCAAAAATTAAAGAAAATTCATGTTTTTATATAAGATGGGATAAGTGGGTCGAAATGTGATTTTATTTTTCTGATAATATTTTATTATCCATTATAGACCCATTAAATGTTTTATACATTCTATTTCTCATTTTTTTTAGATGACCTACTAAGAGCAAGTTTTTTTAATTGAGAAAATTGTCAATGTAAAATCGAACTATTAGTTTTAAAAGATCTGAAAAATATTATGGACAATGAAATTTTACGATTCTATTAATAAAATAAAATGTAACGCGTTGTTTGTGTTACTTATTTTTTTTTCCAAACGAGAAACGGATTAAATGGTTGACATTAGACTAGTTACTGCCCTCTTGTGAATAATAGCTGAAACTATTCGCTTGTGGGCTGCTTGAAAACAATTCCTCTGTACGTACGTTTGAACTACCGCTTGTTTCAATAGCCAATCACATTGCGCCACAAAGGTATAGCGCTGCACTCTGAACTCCTAATGATTAAAAACAGCTGTTTTTTCAGAAAGATACACGGATTATGACGTGGTGTTTAAAAGCTTAAAAACGTGTTCTATTTTCTCTGGATTTACAGTATAATTAGAATAATCTTGACAAAGAAAGTGATAATCTTTGAGAGGTGTGAATATACATTTTAATTTAGTTTACAATTGTACCAATTAACCAACTTTTTGCGTTTGTAACCTTACATTTTCTATTTAGTATTTTTTTTGCTTTGTTTTAGAAAATACAACAAAAATGAGATGGGAATTGCTAGCGGTTTCTTTTATTTTAATTACAAGTGTAGTGGATTATGTTTGCCCTTTAGCAGTTATGTCTGTTGATTTGGGATCAGAATGGATGAAGATTGGAATCGTTTCCCCGGGTGTACCTATGGAAATTGTGTTAAACAAGGAATCTAAACGTAAAACTCCAACGGTAGTTAGTTTTCGAGACAACGTACGAACATTTGGTGAAGATGCTCAGACTGTGGGTACACGTTTTCCATCCAACAGTTATGCATATTTATTAGAATTGTTGGGAAAGGACATTAATCACCCGTTAGTTAAACTCTATCAAAAACGATTCCCTTATTATAATATTGTAGAGGATCCTCAAAGGGGAACTGTTCTATTTAAACATGATGAAAACACATTTTATTCTCCTGAAGAACTTGTTGCACAATTGTTGTACCGTGCAAAAGAATTTGCAGATATTTCTGCTCAACAGACAGTAAAGGAGTGTGTACTAACAGTTCCTGGATACTTTAATCAAGCAGAAAGAAAAGCATTGCTTCAGGTAACTAGTTTTTTAGAATGTAGTTTAGTATTTTGTACTTCTTATATTGATACAAGTTCAATCAGGATATATTGTCATCATAAAGTTTGTGCAAGTTGTTAAACTGAACTGTTTATGTAACTAAAATATTTTCCTGTTCTTGTCCCATCTAAGAATTAATATTTTAGTTATCTGGTGTTATTTTGTTTTCAAAAAAAGTAAATATCAATTTTGTTGTAAACAGCAAAATTAGGTGTGATTCTTTAAATTATCCAAGAGATTTATTTGTAAAATAAAAAAGAACATGTTAAAATAAGCTAAAAATACTTTATTTACAAGACAAGTCGAACAAACTACTGTAGAAGTAGTTTTAAGACACGTTAAGGAAGGCAGAAACCAGTACTGTTATAACTGCATTTGTGTATCTTGTTTATTACGTAATTACTAATTAGTTACATATGAAATTAATTTACAATTTAGGAATGAAACTTTTAACTTTACAGGTGTATACTGCTTTTTATTAACAACAAAAATTTCACTACCTTGTACCTAAACACTGTAGCAAAACGTTGGTAGTTGTTAATAAAAACTAATATGCATCTGTAAAGTTCAGAGTTTGATTTCCAAACAATAAAAAAAAAGAAAAATGGTATCATTAATTTACGATATTAATGTTGTTCACAGGCTGCTGAACTTGCCAATATAAAAGTTCTTCAGTTGATTAATGACCATACAGCTACAGCTTTAAATTATGGCATATTTCGAATTAAAGATTTTAACGAGACCGCACAATATGTCATGTTTTATGACATGGGAGCAACTTCAACAACGGCAACCATAGTGAGCTATCAAACTATAAAAATAAAAGAAAAGGGCTTCGTTGAGATGCATCCCCAACTCACTGTGATAGGATATGGGTATGACCGCACTTTAGGGGGTCTAGAGATGACACTGAGATTGCGAGATTATTTGGCTACGAAGTTTAATGAAATGAAGAAAACACCTACCGATATATTTACGAGTCCACGAGCGTTAGCTAAATTATTTAAGGAAGCTGGACGTGTTAAACAGGTGCTCTCTGCCAATGCCGATCATTATGCTCAAGTGGAAGGTCTTCTTGATGAAGTTGACTTCAGGTTGCAAGTAAATATTTTAAATTTTTAAAAGATTTTAAATTAATGTCTGTACTGTACTACACGAGTCTTAGTCGGTGTTTTTACTCAAAACATCTCTCTAAATTTAGTCATATGGACATCTATAATCCATAACAGACAAAATGCTAATTATAATATACTAGTGATTTTATAAATTAGGACTGTACATTGTTGGAAATTTATCAGTTTTCAGTAATATGGGTCAACTGTTCTTGATATTACAATGTCTTATGTTCTCGCATTTTCCACACTGTACCACCTACTTATTATTTTAGAAATTTCAATAGAAAAATCGAGGAAATTTTAGCTTTGTGTTACTTTTTTGAACGAAATAATAAACAAACTTTCTTGTTGTTGAACTACAACGATTGATTTAGTAGTAGGATTAGTTAGTATTAATACTACAGAAATTAGTTTAAAAAAAGCACTTGATAATTTAACAAATAAAACTGAAAGTAGTTGTGAATGGAGAAGGATATTAAATATTCATAAATATTTTTAAAAGAATGTAGAAATAATTTTGTTTGCTATTTAGATAATGAGATGAGTTTTTTTCAGTTGAACTGATTATCAATTGCAATATTTTTATTATAGGTAACTCGTGAAGAATTTGAAAACCTCTGCGCCGATCTTTTTGAAAGGGTAAGCGGCCCTGTAGAAAGAGCATTGAAAATGGCAGGTTTGTCAAAAGAAATTTTGAATCAAGTTGTTCTTACTGGGGCTGGAACAAGAGTACCAAAGGTTCAAGAAAAACTGCAAAAAGTTGTTGGTCAAGAGTTAGCGAAAAATTTAAATACTGATGAGTCAGCAGCGATGGGGGCAGTATATAAAGCAGCGGATTTAAGTACTGGTTTTCAAGTGAAGAAATTTTTGACTAGAGATGGCGTTATTTTCCCTATTCAGGTTGTTTTCGAAAGAGAAACTGAAGCGGGACTTAAACAGGTTAAACGTACTCTATTTGGATTAATGAATCCGTATCCACAAAAAAAAATTATTACGTTTAACAAGCATGTAGACGACTTTACCTTCTATATATATTATGCAGAACTGGATCATTTACCAGAGAATGAATTACTTTGTTTGGGTAATACAAATTTAACAGAGATAACATTAAAAGGTGTAGCAGAGGCCTTGAAAAAACACAAAGGTCCAAATGTAGATGGTAAAGGAATCAAAGCGCATTTTTCATTAGATGAATCTGGAATCTTGAAGCTGGTTAATGTAGAATTCGTCTTTGAAAAAGTTATCACAAAAGAAGTAGAAGAAGAGCAAGGAACACTATCAAAACTAGGCAGTACCTTGAGTAGACTTTTTAGTAACGATGAGGAAGCGTCGGAAAAAGTAGAAGAGAAACAGGAAAGTTTTGAAGAAAGTGCTCAAGAAGTGCAATCAGATAAAGATGAAAAATTGAACAAAACAGCTGCTAATGAAACTACATCAAAGAATACAACAGAAAAGCATTCTCCAAATGACATAAAACCGAAAATCGTAACAATAAAGGAGCCAATAAAAGCGCTAGAAAATATTTTACACATTAAAGAAATAACGAAAGATCAGTTAAATCAGGCAGTAGAAAAACTGGAAAAATTAAATGCAGTTGATAAAGAACTAAATAGGAGAGCAACAGCTTTGAATAATCTTGAGAGTTTCGTCATAGATACACAAAACAAATTGTATGAAGATGCTTACACACAAGCAGCAACTCCAGAAGAAATTGAAAAAATTCGAAAAGCTTGTTCAGAGACTTCAGACTGGTTATATGAGGATGGTGCTGAAGCAGACGCAGCTACTTATGAAAAGAGGCTAAAGGAATTAAATTCTCTTACAAAAGACCTGTATGCTAGAGTATATGAACACAGAGAGAGGCCAGAAGCGTTAAACGCTTTAAATTCCATGCTAAATGGCTCGATTAAGTTTTTAGAGTCTGCAAAAAATCTTACTAAGGAAATAAACCCCGAGAAAGATGTTTTCACTGATATCGAACTGAAAACACTTGAAAAAACTATCAATGATACACGTGATTGGGCAAACAAAAAGGTGGAAGAGCAAGACAATATAAAAAAATCGGATCCTGTTGTTTTGACCGTAAGAATGATTTCCGAAAAAATGTCTGCTCTTGATAGAGAAGTGAAATATTTGGTGAACAAGCTTAAAATCTGGCGACCTAAGAAGACTGAAAAGTCTAATGCAGACAAAAATAATACAAAAAGCGAATCAGGTGGAGCAAATAAAACGGAAAAAACAGAAGAATCCCTAAAAGAAGAAAATATTCCAAACCCAACAACAGATGAAGCAGAGAAGAAGACTAGTAAACAAGACAAAGAAAAGCTAAGTGAAAATGAATCAATTAAATCGAGTGAACAGGATAACAAGGAAAACCATTCAGAATTATAATTGTGTCTTAGTGTAATTGAAATGACTTTTAACTTATTGAAATTTTGGTAGTTATTGTTAAGATGTATTTATTTCACTTCTTCTGTTTTATAAACAGTTTGGGCATATAATAGTAATTTTTTGAAAAGGGCAATCATTTTTATACATTATTTGCCGGTTTACAGCTTTAGAAAATTAAATTAAAAATTGCATAACATCGTTGTTCCTTTAGTTAATAAAACTAGTATTACTGATTTTCATGTAAATGTGTAAACAATTTTTCTTTGTACTAATCTACTATTATCTTTTATTATTTTTTTTATTTGAAAATATTTGTACTTCAAGACAAAATAATGTGAAAATAAGTGAAATTTTATTAATTGTAAGTGGAATAAAAATTCGCTTCTTTTGGTAGTATTCTGATAAAATAATATTGCTAAATTGAAACAATCTTCTAATATAGGGAAGGCAATTATTAAAGCTGCAGAAATTATTAAGAGACATATTTGCAGAGTATTTAAAAATGTGACGCGATATAAATTAAATTCCATTTAGGATCACTCTCAGAATTATTTATGCGTATTTGGTTGTAATTTCCGATTGTTATGAATATATCACCAAAATAATTATGTTTAATTGTTGAAACAATCGTAAATGTTATTCATTAGAAGTATTTGGAACAAAAAGAAATTAATTATGTGAAGAATTGTTCCATCCACATGCTAATAGTTTACATACATTAAAAAAAAAATTGGTAAACTGTATTATACATTTTGTGTAATACCATGTCTCGAAGTACTAATATTAGTATTTGTTATTGACAACGATATTTTTTTCAAGTTGATGACATTCCCTTTTATTTGTGTTTAATGCAAATTAATTTTGCAAAATTGGGCTGTATCACTATTAATGTTATTTAATGTGAAACAAATAAATATACATTCATACACTTGTTGTCTTGAATGAAATTAATAGTAATGCTAAAATACATAATTAAAATTGATATTAATTATATTCGGTGTAAAGGATTGATGTGGTAATGTAACTGTAATTTTTGTCTACATATATGTAAATTAATTATTGCAGGCATACACTTAACTTCAAAGGTTTGATTTTATTTTTTATAAATTATNATAAATACATAAATACTTTATTACATTTTAGCACTTTCGTTTCATAAGACAAAAATTAATTTATTAAGAAGTAAACACGACGTATGTAAATTGGGGGTTGAAAGTGTATTCCAGAAATTTCAAACTATAAAATTCTTTTCACTGATGCCCCATAATAACTTTAGTACATTTTGGTAATTTTACCTGATTTAATAAGGTAGAAAAAAACTTTCAAGAAATAAAAACGTTTTTAAATTGATAAAAAGTTTAGTACATTTGGTACTTTTAGCTTGTCTCATAAGGGAGAAACTAATTTGAAATTTAGTTGAAAGAAGAATTCTGGAATAACAATGTTGTAGTTCCCTCTTTCATAGTAACAACCCTAAACACAGAGGAAACCTCTTAGGCGAATAGTTCTTAATCATTTCCTATTTTTGATTAAGAAGTATCTATCTTTCTAACTATTATTAAGAAGTATCTATCTATTATTGCTTTAATGTTTTTAGTTTTAATCCTTGTAGGACCTTATTATGAGAAAATGTTTGTTAATACATCAAAAACGTACCTAGTTCTTAAATGTATTATTACTTTCTGTAGTTGTAATAAATTTAATTTGGCGGTTACTTTTAATACTGAAATTGCGTACTAGGATAATATTATCACGATACATAGTATTTTGAATTACATATATACAATTATATAAAATCTACAACGGTGTGGCCCACCCTTGATCCATATGAAATAAAAAGTTGGCTACGTTTCTGCTGAAAAAGTACAACTTGGAGTTTGTGGTCAAGCATTTCGAAAGTATCGTATATTTACGCGGTTGTGAATTACACTTTTTGTATTTGTTGTACATTACAAGCAATATTATTTTAATTTCAGTTTATGAAGTAAAATTCTTTAAAAGTCACTGTTATAAGAACGTTTTTGACTGCGCAATTTAAAATTTTATATTGTAGTAGATTTTTAATTGACATTTTTGCCTATAAAATAATAATAAAAATGAAATCCTTTTGTTTCAGTTCTTCGAATTACATATGTATGGGATTTCGTCTCATTTTTTTGGATTGTTAACCAAGGAAGTGAACAGAACAGTACAACGTTGTTATTCCAGAATTGTTCTCTCTGAATCATACCAATCTACATTGACGAGGTAGGATTATTTTCATTAAAATTAAAATTAGTTTTTTTCCATATTAAACAAGCTGAAAGTATCAAAATGTAGTAAAGCTATTGTGGGGCATTAGTTAAATTAATTTTATCGTTGGAAATTACTAAGTTGTTTCTTAAACCCCCAATATAAAAACGTCGTTTTTATTTCCTCATAAGTTATTTTTTTCTCCTTTATTTATCCAGCTAAAAGTACAAAATATATTAAGTTGTGTGAGTGAGGCATCACTTAAAAGAAGTTTATAGTTGGAAATTAACAGGGTGCTATTTCAATCCCCAATTGTAAAACGTATTTTGAAATAAATTAATTTCTCCCTTATTACACCAACTGAAACTGCCAAACTGTATTAAACTTATATTTATTAAAACTTCTGCTTGGTGAATATTTTAAACTTTGATTTTTAATGCCGCTCAAAATACTCTGTAGTGACTTGGGTTGTCTAAATGGAGAACAAACAATTTATTAAAACTATGTATCTTATATTCAAATTTGAGTGCGCTGTAGTTTACTAGATAACTAGATAAAGAAAGAAATATTACAGTGCGAGTCGAAATTTGTAAGCAACTAAATTTTTGGATTTTAATAAAATAATCTAAATTTATTTGGTTCGTAAGCAGTCTAAGAAAATAATTATGATTTTATATTTAATTCTATTAATGCAAATGAAAGCCTTTCACATTGTTTTGCTTATTTTTCTAATGTGGACATTTTTAATTTGTGTCCTGTACATTACAGTTTTTTGCAGGATTTCTGTTATTTATAGTTGCAAATGCGGACGAAAAATTGTTAGCTTTATATGGGAACATTGTTATGAGAGTATGAAAATGCAATAAAGTAATAATAGTTAAAGAGATAGATGCTTCTTAATCAAAAATAGCAATAGATTAAGAAGAGAAGTAATATATCTTTTCTTTAGTAAGAGTATAGTAACAACGATAAGGAGAAATTAATTTTTAATCTTCTTTCTTAAGATCGAGAAATTTGTAACAGGTTTTTTCTTTCGAAGATATCTATTATTTATCTATTATAAACTCTGGAGTTTATTTCTGCATTTTTAAAATTCATTGCATTTTATTTTAAATCCTCAAACCAAAGCATTCTGCCCAAGTGATATCTGTTTGTTATGTTAAATTTTCTGAATGAATTCCTTTGTTAAGAACATAATTTAATGGTTGGATTAACTTTAAAATGAATTAAACAGAGAAATTTTGTAGAAATGCCTATATTTGTTGTTACATGAATCGATAATAAAAACGTCGTGTTTATTTCTTAATAAATTAATTTCTATCTTATGAAACGAAAGTGCTAAAATGTAATAAAGTAGTCGTGGGTGGACACAAACTAAAATAATGCGACTAAATTTTACCAGTGGGTATTTTAAACACCAGTCTTTAATAAGAAAAGGAATTCAGAACTGTTACTGCAGCCTAACGCTCAGAATACTCTGTAGTGAAGTGGGTTGCCTATATGAAGGACGAACAATTTATTAAAATTTAAATTCCGTAGAAATTAAATGAGTGCGCTTTGGTCTACTAGATAAAGAAGGAAATGCTACAGTGCGAGTCAAAATTTGTAAGCAACTAAATTTTTGGATCTTAATAAAAATAATCTAAATTTATTTGGTTTGTAAGCAGTCTGTGAAAATAAATACGATTTTACAAGACAACACTATTAACGTAAATGAATGTTTTTCACTTTGTTTTGTATATTTCTGCAATGTGTGTTTTTTTACTTGTCCTGTACATTACAATTTTTTGTAGGACTGATAGAGAAAAAGATACAGTTAAAAATGCGGATAAAAAACTGTTAGCTTTAACATTGTGATGATAGAATAAAAATACATTAAAGCAATAATAGTTAGAAAGATAGATACTTCTTAATCAAAAATAGGAAATGATTAAGAAGAAAATTATTGTACCCCCACTTTTTTAGTTAACATAAAAAAGCAATGAATTTTTAATTTTCTGTCCAAAGATTAAGAAACTTCTAATAGTTTTTTTTTGAGAATATATCTATTTCTGCATTTTTTTAAAAATCATTGCATTTTATCTTAATACTCTTACAAGCATAGCCAATCATTTGTCTAGAGAAATAATACTTATCTTTTTATTTATATATGTTGATAATAGATTTNCTGAAAAACGTACATCGGTTAAAAACATTTTTACCTTTTTTATCAACGAGAAAATTATAAAATCGTCTGAAAATACATATTCTGACTAGAATCTTGAATTCTTTCATGAATTTAATGACAAATTAAAAAAAAAAAATACAACGTGTAATTATACAACACGCTATTGAAGTGAAACTTTTTCAAACACACAAACATACCGGATTTGTTTTTATTTAATGTCGCAAAAATATCTGTTATATACTTTGTCCAAATCGAGAGCTTTTGCAATTTTTTTTCGATGAACGTTTTTGTTTAATAATGATGAACATATAATTTTCTGTTTTTCCGTAATATTTTTTTTTGTTTGGTTTGGTGATTAAATTAAGTAGATCAGTCACAATAAGTTAAATATAACAAAACAACATTAATGTATTGTATTATTTTTCGATATTCTCAGTTTTCATTACTATTCCGCATGTATTAAGGAGTACTGATTTTTATTACTATCATGATTATGTGTTTTTAAAGCATGATTTAAAGACATCCACAAATACACCATTCGTATGCGTGTTAACCAAAGAACCTCATAAATTTCATTTTTAATTAATTTACTTAAAAACATTTCAATAATTCTTAGTTCTTTAAGTAGTTAAAATATACTGTTAGTGTCGTAGTTTTATTGGAATTATTATTTTTTAAAGGCGGATCAGTTTCTATTTACGAATTAAACTAAGTTGGTATAATTGAACGCACTTATAAAACTTGTTATTTATGTATCATGGGTATAGAAGGAATTTTTATCTATGATCGTCCCGCCCATGATTCATCTTGTATCCTTATATGCATCATGTTCAATCAACGTTCAATCAATCAATCGTGCCTTCGGTTGTCAAGAAGGCGGTATGTCACCATTTTTGCTGTCCATAAACGGCGACGACACCATAAGGTATTTGATTTTCATTTGATTGTGTGGAATAGTTTTCTATTTAGTGATTGATCGGTTTCGGTTACTATTGCTTAGATGTTTTTGGCGTGAATGTCTTCCGTGGCGATTTGGTTTTGTGCTTCAACGTGAGGTTCTATCTTGGTATCTTGCAATCCTCTCATCTGCGAATTTTTATAGATTCATGGTTTATTTGAGGTTGAATAATTACGGTTTTGTAAAAATTTTTTGAATTTTCGAAACAGGTTTCGGCGATGATTGTAGATTTTTCATATTAATTTGACCACGCCTCAAAAAATTGCTTTCGTTTTATAGGCAAAATACTTAGTATTTCTCAAAAATATTTTTCTGTCTTTAAAGTTCTAAATTTCTGATAAAAAATATTACTTTTGTCTTATTATTGTATAGATTGGGTTTTAACGACTTGTTTTGTTTTTCTACAGTTCAGACTTGCTTTTAGATGACATCCTTGGATTCGATGGGCAAACTGCTTACACATGTAATGTGTTTGTGACAAACAAACAAAAAACCAAAATACTTATAATGAGCTAGTCAAGTAGGATAGACGGTACTAACAATGGTAATTATCATGAATAATAAAATAATGACAAATATAGTGAACAAATAACCAATATAAAATTGTTTCAACAGGTTTCTATTAAAACACAATAAATGTAGGTATATCAAGAGGGCCAATCAAAAGGGCTTGAAATGTGGAGAAGCAGATCCTCAACCGCTCTTTTTTCTCTTGGACTTGGAAAGGGCGTCATTTGTGGAAAGGGTAAGAAATCTTGTATATATTCTATGAGGTTGTAGCTGCGAAATTATTTATGATTTTCCAACTCTTGTATCCCATTTGTTTGACAATCATTACTAATATAATTTTTTACTCTTCTGAATAATAATAGTTTGTGATTCTTAAAATTTAAAAACATAATGTTTAAGATGAAACTAACATTTAATTGTTTCAACAGATTAAATGAACAAGAAGACAAAAAATAAGGATTCGAAACTTGGAGAAGTGGAGCCCCGTTGATGCTCCCTCCCTCCCCTAAGACTTAAAGGTGTAATTTTTGGAAAACATTTGCACTAAAATTCACATCGTTGTGTATAAGGTTGCATATGCGGTGTTCTGTCGTTCTTTCTGCTATATGACTCATTTCACCATCATCAGTTGTATTATTATTCGTTTCATGGGCATCTGTTGTCAACGCTTGAGAATAAAATTCAAACACCGTACAGTAATCCTCGAGGTAAGCAATTGTTTTACTGTAGCATCTTTATGGTACTTAATATCTGTGGCATCTACGGTTTTTCTTCTAGCTGTTATCAATTGTTCACAGCATAAATTGGTGATGCCATGCATCTATGATATTTTCTTCTAACGGCTATTGTCGACATAATAAATTGATGTTGATCTGTGGTTATTTCTATTGCACTATATACATTTATCTATGTCATGAATAAAATTGACAGCACGTCGCCATTTTATAATTTAATTGTTTTACTTGCTTTTTGATGAATGTTTTTATCGTGTTTAATATTTTACTTAATTTAATCCCTTCTTTAATTAATAGTGTAATTAATGGTTTTTTGTTCGTTTCTGCAGATCGTTCAACAAATGAGAGGGAATTAAAGTTCAAGTTGATCATACTGGAACAACCAATGTCTACAATGGTGTTGTCTTTTTTGGACTATATCCTTAATTTGCTGTTTCGTCTTCACCTTGCAGCATTATGCAGCATTTTCAAGAGGTGATCGCGAGCAAGAGGAAATTTGTGGTGTATTTCTCCTGGATTTGGTTTGCTTTTCGCAGTTGCAAAAGTTGGAATATTACAGTCTATTGTTCATTAAGGTGAGAATGTTTGATATAATTAAAATCAATTGCCCTTTATTAATCTGTTACCACCCTATCTGTTTCAGATCGATGGTGGAGAAGACAAAGAAGACCCCGTAGTTAAAATAGTTCTCAGTACTATTGCATGCTTTTTAGTAGAATTAATTTTTTATTATGCATGTTTTTTGTAGTTTGTTTTATTAAATTATTTTTTGATTGTAGGTGTTCTTATTTTTTAGTAGTGTTTTTATTTTTTTAGTAGTGTTTATTTTTTGAGTAGTTTTTATTTTTTAGTAATGATCTGATTGTTTTTGGTAGTACTAGTATTAACATGTTCATTTTTTTAGTAGTATTTGTCTAACATGTCTCTTGCTTACCTCTTCGCTTAGCTTACTGCATATTCTCACTATAAATTGCTTTGCATTTACCCTACGAGTTCTACATGATTCAACGTTTCGTTATCGTGTGTGTTTCTTCTCACCCTTGTGGAATTAGGGAGGGCCTCCCCGAACGACTTCCCTTGGGCTTAGCTATTTAGTTGATCTTAAAAGTGTCTTATACACTTTTCGCGAGTCTACTCTAGCGTTACTTCCTTTCAGACAGGGTACAGTGGGTTATCTGGAATAGGAGCAATAGGCGACTGCCCAGCTTGCCTTGGCGAAATCTGTCCGATCTTCTCTACCAAAACTATTAGTATTTGCCGTTAGTCCTGTTAATTTTGCACTATTTGCTTTCAGATAATGACGTATTTCCTAAGAAGAACGAAGACATCATTTTCTTTTTTATTGTATTTTCTTTGAAATTTCATGTGTTTTCTTGTCTTTCTTTTACAGGTATTTTGTTTATTACTTTATGAACTGTTATATTATGTAATTGTAACTTAGAATGATACTTAAAATTTTTCTAAATTGATCTTTTGGCATAAATGTTAAAATTAAATTAAATATTTGTTAACGCTTTCACAATTAAAATTCATTTGGGCGGATAGGGTGGCTATAAGGGGAGATGCGGAGGCCACAGAAGGTTAGGGAGATTTTTTTTCTCCTTAATCTTGTGTTTAAATGGTAATGTAACAGTTTGTAAGTAATATATGGTTTTTATTGCATATAAATGTGATTCGTTTTCTTTCTCTTACAGGTGTTTTTCTTTTTACTCTATAAAATGTTAATTAATTTCCTGGTTTTGTAATTGTATTCACTTTTATAAGTCCCTAGAAACTGTTAGTTATTAAATACGTTATATATATTATGTATTAAACTATTAATTGAAAGAAATATGTTTGAATTAGTGTAATTAATAAATATTTGGGTCTAATTAATAAAATATTTTAATTTTATTAGCTTTTTATTGAATAACCTTTAATATAGAAGTGATTTATTGAAGAATTAAGCAAAAATTTTCAGTAGAAGTTGAATTTTAATTCTTATACATAAAAAACGCAATTCGAGCAATAATTTTCTATTATTTTGCAAAATAAGGCTAACGAGAGCGTATTTAGATAATTTATTGAATAATCTTTGATATTAGATGTGATTTATTGAAAAATTTAGCAAAAATTTTCAACAAAAGTTAGATTTAGGTTCATATACGTGGGTGAATTTTAATCGAAAAAGCGTAAAAAACACTATAAGTAGGAATTTCTTGGCAAAAATAAAGTAAACGGGAGCTCTGTATATCATTCATTAGTTAATCTATATCATCAGTTATCATTTATCGATGAATTAAGCAAAAATATTTGGCAGAATTTCTATTTCGGTTCCCATACGATTGACAGGTAGCTATACATGGGTTTTTTTTGGGAACCGAAATCGAACAGTAGGACAAATTTTTGGCTTAATTCATTAGTAAATGACAACTGATATGGATAATTGATTAATAAACGATAAGAACTAGCTGTGGCTTGCTTTATTTTTGTTCAAAAATGACTATTTATGGTGTTTTTTACGTTTTTCCGTCCACGTATATGAACAAAAATCGAAATCGTAAAGTAATGGAAAATTCAAAATTTTTTTGAAAAAGACCCGATGCAACTTATGCTCTCCTAATACAAATGTTGAAATTTATGAAAATTTTCAGTTTTGAGCCAAATACGAGGGTTAGTCGAAAAGTAATGGAAAATTCAAGTTGTTTTTTGAAAAAGACCCGATGCAACTTATGCTCTCCTAATACAAATGTTGAAATTTATGAAAATTTTCAGTTTTGAGCCAAATACGAGTGTTGGTCGAAAAGTAATGGAAAATTCAAGTTGTTTTTTTAAAAAGACCCGATGCAACTTATGCTCTCCTAAAATCGAACATTACAACAAAATTTTTGCTTAATTTACCAGTAAATGTTATCTGATATAGATAATTAGTTAATAAATAATAACAACTAGCTGTAGCATGCTTTATTTTTGTAAAAAAATGGTTATTTATTCTGTTATTCAAGAACCAATAAAATTTCATAATCTGGTAAAAATAAAGCAAATGAGTGTGCCTTTAGATCGTTTTTTTCTTGATGAAGTAGCCACATTTACACGTTTATTGTCAAAAATAATTAAAAGGTAGCTAAATTTTGGTGAAGGTGCCAGACACGATACGAAATCAAATTCTCGCGAAACTTTGAAAATCGGAAATTTGTATTAGGAGAGCATAAGATGCTTGGGAAATCAGATAATTTGGCGGGCAAATTTTAGTGTTATTATTATTGCCGCTTAGTAGCTATCTGATAGACATCTGTAATATAGTTGAAACCTGTAAACTAGATGCAATAATATTTAACTATGGACCGTGAGATGTCCATCCAGGTACCTGAGATACGAAGGACATACTATAATTCCTTAAGTGTAATATAAGGGATTATCGAAAAGTTTTAACAGAAAATTCTCAAAATTAATTTACCGTGTTGATTTTCCGTATAAATGGGTCGATTTTGGCTGTTGTTTATTTAGATGTTGTTGTTTGAGGTTGCATGTCTTAAAAAATACACAAAGATTATTCAATAAAAAAGCTAATAAAATTGAAATATATTTATTAATTACACAAATTACAACATATTTATTTCAAGTACAACTATAATACATAATATATACAACGTATTAAATAATTAACAGTTTCTAAGGACTTACAAAAGTGAACATAATTACAAAACCAGGAAATTAATAAACAGTTTACAGAGTAAAAAGAAACATACCTGTAAGAGAAAGAAAACAAATCACATTCATATGCAATAAAAAATCTTATATTACTTACGAACTGTTATATTACCCTTTAAACACAAGATTAAGGAGAAAAAAGTCTCCCTATCCCTCTGTGGCCTCCGCATCTCCCCTTATAGCCACCCTATCCACCCAAATTAATTTTAATTGTGAAAGCCTTAACAAATATTTAATTTAACATTTATACCAGAAGATCAATTTAGAAACATTTTAACTATCCTTCTAAGTTACAATTACATAATATAACAGTTCATAAACTAATAAACAAAATACCTGTAAAAGAAAGACAAGAAAACATGAAATTTCAAAGAAAATACAGTAAAAGGCAAAAAAGAAAATGATTTCTTCGTTCTTCTTAGGAAATACCTCATTATCTGAAAGCAAATAGTGCAAAATTAACAGGACTAACGACAAATACTAATAGCTTTGGTAGAGAAGATCGGACAGATTTCGCCAAGGCAAGCTGGGCAGTCGCCTATTGCTCCTATTCCAGATAACCCACTGTACCCTGTCTGAAAGGAAGTAACGCTAGAGTAGACTCGCGAAAAGTGTATAAGACACTTTTAAGATCAACTAAATAGCTAAGCCCAAGGGAAGTCGTTCGGGGAGGCCCTCCCTAATTCCACAAGGGTGAGAAGAAACACACACGATAACGAAACGTTGAATCATGTAGAACTCGTAGGGTAAATGCAAAGCAAATTAGGAAGAATATGCAGTAAGCTAAGCGAAGAGGTAAGCAAGAGACATGTTAGACTAGTACTACCAAAAAACTGAACGTGTTAGTACAGTAATAACGACTACAACCAAAAACAATAACAACATCTACAATTAAAAATTAATTCAAATAAAATAAACTGAAATCAGCATGCAAAATAAAAACGAATTCAAACAAAACATGCAAAATAGAGAAGTATTTACACTACGGGATCTTCTTTGCCTTCTCCACCGACGATCTGAAACAAATAGGATAGTAACAGATTAATAATGAGCAATTAATATTGATTATGTCATGCATTCTCACCTTAATTAACTGCAGAATCTAATGTGGCAAAGTCAACAAGTACGAATAGCTAAGAAAATTCTGGAAAAATGATGTTATTGGAGATTAATTGAAATCCAAATCCAAGGTGCTCTTCTAACTCATTCGTAGAAAATGAAATGTACAAGTTGCAGGATGAAGACATCAACAGCAAGTTAAGGATCATGTCCACAAAAAATGCAAAATTAACTCCATGGTCATAATCTGTAGAAACAAACAAAAAAATATGAATTAAGTAAGTGTAGTGACTAAACAACAAAAATTGTAAATCAATGTTCCCCAATGCTTTTTGACTTTTTCTACACTTTTCTCTCAACACATTGCAATCCAGTGAATTTTGATAATGTTCTTGACAAATTAATTAATTGTTACCTTAAAGAAGTACTGAATGATAATTTAGTCTCAATTGTAAACAATTTGATAACAAAATGTAAAGCAATAATCAAAAGGAGGATGCTATAATCCAACAGATTACTATCCTCATTTGTCTCGACTCTGTTTTCATATAATGAACCACAGGAAGAAGCAGATAATATGTAAAACAATAATGTTGAGTGCCATAGAAGTATTTATTACAATACCAACAATTCATAACTTGTTTATAACAAATATCCAATTGGTAATCAAGACATAAATGATTAGATTCTTTTTCTCTATGTCGCCAAATCACAGTTCTATTAACAAATATATTACAATTGACGTTATTTTTTTTACTATATTTCCCTTGAAATCGGTTATGAATTTACAATTTGTTAATAATTAATCTCCAAGAAACAATTATAACATGAGCAATTGAAGTACCTTTTTTCTATGTTGCCGAACCACTGCTTCATTTACAAATACATTAGAAGACATGTTATTTTTTTATGATTTTTTTCTTGAAATCAGTAATAAATTCACAAACCTTTTAAAACTAATTTCGAAAAGAAAATTATCATCTCATGAACAATTAAAGAAGCTTCTTTTTAATGCCACTAAATCATTGTTTTATTAACAAAAATATATTACAGTTGATGATATGAATTTTTTTACTACTTTTCCCTTGAAATCAGTAATAAATTCATAGTTTGTTTTCATTTACAATTAATNAAATTCATAGTTTGTTTACATTTACAATTAATTAAAAATAAATTTGTGAAATTATCAAATGCTTTATGCTGTACAAAAAAAATTTTCTTCTTAATCAAAGTCTAATCAACTTTAATAAATGTTATCACATACCTCTGTGCTGGTGCCAGTCGACAGATTAGACTTTAGCTGCAGATATTACATTGTCTACTACCACTAGAAAAAAGGCAAGCTCATGTTTCCTTTATGTACTGCAATGTGTTGAGATGTCAAGAAATCACTGCAAAAAGTTTCGAGATGATGCGTCAGGCCAAAGTCCAAATTATGCCAGAGCATGGAATTAAAATTACCTTCATGCTCATAATCTGTAGAAACGGACAAAAAAATGAATTAACTAAGTGCAGTGACTACACATGAAATAAAAGTTGTGAATCAATTTTAGTGTAATATCACAAGCGGGGCTTACACTCTTACCTTCATGATGTTTAAGACGTTTCCACGTGAAGAAGGCAAGAACAAACGAAGCACAGTAGGAACCATATCATCATGCACCATCCACTTGGAGATACTTAATAACATCTAAATAAACTTCAATATGCTTTCCATAAGAAGCCGATCTATAAAAAAGAACGAGAAATAACGAATTAACTGTATTATTCATGAACGATACATGATATTAAAACATAATTACAACGCCACTCTGAACATGGGCACACATATGTCACAGACGGTCACAGACTTATTGCAAAACAATACATACACAATATCCCATTGAGTAAGAGAACGATTAGATACGTTCAGAAATATTAATCTAACAACAATTATAAAATTGCAGTTCAATTACAAATTTTAAAATTTATTCTACTTAGATTAAAAAAAAACTAACACAGCAATAGTTATTTGATGTGCTAGCAGCTACCACATTTACAATTACTTTAAAGTTAATGTTAATTTGTCAAACTAAATTCTGAAGCTTTATGCAGTACAATTATAGCAATGCACTCACTTATAAATTCACCATTTGTTGATAACAAATTACCAAAAAAATAATTATGGCACGAATGATAAAATAAGTGTCTTTTTTATGACGCTGACCGCTTGTTTTGCTAAAAAATTCATTAGAATTGATACTATTATTTACAATTTTTTTTTGAAATCTGTAATAAACTTGTGATTTGTTAAAAACAAACTTCGAAAATGAAATTGTGGCATGAATGATTAAAGAAACTTTTTCTCTATGTCACTAAACCGCAGCATTCTTAAAAAATATATTACAACCGATGTTATTAATTATTCAGGATTATTGCCTTGAAATCAGTAACAAATTGATAATTTGTTTATAACAAATTTCCAAGAGGAAATCAAGACATAACTGATTAAACAACTTTCTTTCAAGTTTTATTAAGAAATACATTACAATTGATGTTATTGTTTTTACGACTTTCCTCTTGAAATCAGTTATAAATTCATAATTTGGTAATAATTAATTTGCAAGATAAAATTATGTTTGATGGCAAAAAAAAGTAAACGAGAGCGTACTTATATAATTTATTTTTGAATTAAGCAAAAACATCAATAAAATTTACATTTTTATGGCTAGCAATGACGAAAGGTAGCTTATACGTGGATCAGTTTGGGGGAAATAAACGTAAAAACGATAAAATACCATTTTATATTCACAATTTAATAAACTTCACATATTAGTCACCTTTTATTGATAAAAAACGATTATGATAGATTTAGGAAATACTGTTAATACTAAAAAAAAATACATACTTCATGTGTTTATTATTTGCTGANCTTGCCTTGGCGAAATCTGTCCGATCTTCTCTACCAAAACTATTAGTATTTGTCGTTAGTCCTGTTAATTTTGCACTATTTGCTTTCAGATAATGACGTATTTCATAAGAAGAACGAAGACATCATTTTCTTTTTTATTGTATTTTCTTTGAAATTTCGTGTGTTTTCTTGTCTTTCTTTTCCAGGTATTTTGTTTAATACTTTATGAACTGTTATATTATGCAATTGTAACTTAGAAATGATAGTTAAAATGTTTCTAAATTGATCTTCTGGCATAAATGTTAAAATTAGATTAAATATTTGTTAACCATTTCACAATTAAAATTCATTTGGGTGTATAGGGTGGCTATAAGGGGAGATGCGGAGGCCACAGAGGGTTAGGGGGACTTTTTTCTCCTTAATCTTGTGTTTAAACGGTAATATAACAGTTTGTAAGTAATATAAGATATTTTATTGCATATAAATGTGATTTGTTTTCTTTCACTTACAGGTATTTTCTTTTTACTCTGTAAACTGTTAATTAATTTCCTGGTTTTGTAATTATTAAATACTTTATATATATTATGTATTAAACTATTACTTGAAATAAATATGTTGTAATTAGTGTAATTAATAAATATATGGGTTTAATAAATATATTTTAATTTTATTAGCTTTTTTATTGAATAATCTTTAATATAAAAGCAATTTGTTGAAGAATTAAGCATAAATTTTCACTAAAAGTTGA